GGATCGCCCGATCCCCCTGGCTCCTCTTCCGTCGATCTTCGTCGGTAACTCTTGCATGGTGGATTAGAGCCCGATGGAGTCGGTTTCGTTGCGGATAAAATTGATTTGTTGAGATAGCATGGCCCACTTGGTCCGTTTTCTGGATAAACCCTCCCGTATTCACAAAATCATCAAAACTTGTGGAAATACTTAGTTTAAACCACTACACCTATGTTGGTGATTGATTTTAAGGATAAATGCAGGTTATATTGACGGTTTATGATTGATGTTAACGACTGTCAATGGTCCTATTATTGAGTATAATTATGTACTCATGATACTACTTGATGAGTTTTGCGGGTGAGGTAGCCCCCCGCTTACTAAGTGCCCGAATCCTCTGCGGATTGGAAGTAGTAGAAACCCACCCTATGAGGCATAGGTCCATGGTTTGGCACAAACCGTGGATATGTGTCAAAACTATGTTATGTTGTATTAGAGCTTCCGCAAGACTCTGGGTATGGTGTTATGAACTAAATTGTGAACAAATATGCAGTAAACTTCAGTATCTTTTTTTTGAATTTTGAGTACCCTTTCTTTAGTGTAGTGATGCACATATATAGTCTTGTCTTTTACACTTGATCCTGTTGATACTCAAATTTGTCTAAGTGTTTAGTCACTCGGCTTGGATGGCTGAGCGCATATTTTGATCAACATGGTCCGAGTGCTTTGTAGGTTGATCTGAATGTTGAGCCTGTCGTTGACTGTCTCGTGCCACTGGCCCAAGTGTCTTTTGTCACCGATTGAGCTGAGCCCCCAATAGCTCTGGCTGCAGTGTTCAGAGCAGTACAAGGCTACAAGATGGATGGTGGCTGAGTATTAGTATTTGGCATGGATGCTCGAAAGGATGTGCCACTGGCCCAAGTGTCTTTTGTCACCGATTGAGCTGAGCCGCCAATAGCTCTGGTTGCAGTGTTCAGAGCAGTACAAGGCTACAAGATGGATGGATGGCTGAGTATTAGTATTTGGCATGGATGCTCGAAAGGATGCTATGGCTTGCCTGAGTTAACAAGAAGGATCCAAGTCCAGCTCCTATACGTGCTACTAGAAGGAGATCAATTAGGAAAGGAGATTGGTTTTCAATGCTTGGATACAGGCGACATGAAGAGATTGAGTGCAACATGAATATTTTGACCGACGGGTGTTTAATTTGGCATGCATAGTAATTGCTAGCTAGTTTGAAGACCATCAAGAGGTACGTACATGCAGATTGAGGCATATATTCACATTATTTTAATGAGCATGTGTTTGGAACCTAGCCGTGCCTATACGGACGGGACTCGAGAGCTTAGTGCCTGGTATACTGCATCAAGTCCGGCAGCTATACGTTGATCACCAAGCAAGAAGGCAAATCTAAATTGTTTACTAATTTAATATTGCATAACGTACATCTATGAAGCAAGAACGGCAAGCTCGAACATACGCGGAGGTGGGCCGTCGTATTCTACTCGGACATAGAAATTGGTGCGGCTGCCAGCAAAAGAAATAAACCTTGTCTGCTTGTAATTCTAGAAAGATTCGTGTACTCTTAGGGAACACCAGCCATCCTATAAATATAAAGGGTGATCGCCGATTGACAACATACAATTGAACCTATCAATATACATCTACTTTTTATCTTTTATTGTCATGTCTTCCAATCTATTATTGCTTTTCGTTCTTCGTTGTTGACAATGATCGTTGCTTCAACGACGACGAAGCGCTAGAGCGGTCAGGCCGGCCAGGGTCAGCCCATAGCCGCCGTACGCCCTGACGGGGTCCCTCCCGGGCGTGTGAGGTTTCGGGTCTCAAGAGACATCGTCGATGTGTCTTGCGTATCGCGCTCCCTGCGAGGCTCCTCCGACGACATGTCTTGTGTATTGCACTCATCGCCGGGGGCATACGGTGACGTGTTCGTGTGCGAATAGATCCTAGATGAAGGCTGCATGGAAGTGTGTTATATGGGCAGCATAGACAACCGAAATGACCGAGGTTTGAACTAAGGCCCTGTGTTGGATATATTAGTTTTTTTTAGCAATGTGTTGGATATATTAGCTGCTAATAGTTAGCTACTCCATCCGTTCTAAATTATAAGTCGTTTTAACTTTTTTCGGTACATCCATTTTGCTATGCATCTAGATATAATAATATGTGTAGATACATAGTAAAATGGATAAATCAAAAAAATCAAAGCGGTTTATAATTTAGAATGGAGGGAGTAGCTAATAATTCATAGTTAATATTATCTACTTTGCATTAATTAGTAAAATAGTTGTTAGTTGGGTATCCAGTTAATAATTAGCTAATCTATTAGCTAACCTATTTTGGATTAAACAATTAATTATTAGCAGTTAACTATTAGTTATATTTTTTAGGTGAAACTATTAGTTATATATATGGATCTAAACAAGGTCTTTTTTTGATTTAAAATGGTTGGCTTTATTGAATAAGGATAGTTGCATCATTTATCAGAAAATCAAGAATGAAATTAGGTGGTCATCGTCCCAAATACAATTATCCTTAGTTTGCATTGCTTTCCTAGCCAACTCATGTGCCACTTGATTTGCTTCTCTACTGCAGTGTTCAATAGATATTGACTGAAACCCACTCTAAAAGATATTGCATTCATCTTATACCGTAGCAGCCGAATTTGCCGAAAATCGTCCATTTTCCATTGTCTCTACAACCTCCATACAATCGGATTAGATAATCAAACAATTGCATCCAATATGCTGTGCTACAAAAGCAGCAGCTTCAGCCATGGGCGCATCAATTAAATTCAGAATGAACTGTTTGATGCCACCATCGCTAAACCTAAATTGTCTCTGGTAATAACTCCGGTACTGCCGCACCCTGTGTTTTCGTCAAAGGAGGCATCTACATTCACCATAAGTACCCCTCTAGAGGTTTTTTCTATCCCTTTCTTACTTTGGCTCCCATATCTAAACAAGGTCTAAAAGTGTGGTTAACGACGCTTGGCCCAAGCGTCCGACCTACCTTTTTTTTTTGAGCAAAAGCGTCCGACCTAGCCGGGGAGGTCCTGACACGATTCGCGCACAATGGGCCGTTGTTTGTTTCAAGTGGGCTGCAACTGCAATGGGCTCACAGGGGACGCAGCCATTGTGCGGCCGCAGCCAGCGGCCGATGCAGAGTCTTTCATGGTTTGCGGCCGCAGCCACTGGTGCCGGGCTAGCAGGGACGCCACGACGGGACGGCGACGGCCTTCAAGGCGTGCCGAGGAGGTTGCCGTCTGCTAGCATGCCGTGGGCGGTGGTGGCAAGGCGGGCGGGCAGGAGGCGTGGGAGCCGTCGTGCCAGAGTGCCGCACGGCGCCGCCGCTCGAGGATGACTGGATGAGTATCATTTCTGGACTCAATGGTAAGTTCTAGTGTTTCTAGTAGATTTTTTGATTTGGTCAAATGTTTAAAGCCGTCTAGTTGGCAACTTAGTGAAGCGGATTGCCATTAATTTCTGCGTGGCTGCAGAAAATGATTTGTGATTAGTGGATCCCTATCTAATCTCGATCATTCTTTCAATTTTGTCTATCTGAATGTTACTTATCTTTCGCTATTCTAACACAACAATTTTGCAAGTTTTGGTGAGAAATGTCCTTCCCTCTGACATTGGGAAAGCACTTGACAACAAACTTTTTTTTTTCTCGAACACTCAAGAGACATTATTATTAAGAAGAAAAATGGGACAAGAACCCACAAACACACCAGTCTATTGTCCTGTGATTACATGCTCGCCTGTTAGTTAGGACTGAAACAAGCGATCGACACACCCGGACGACAACCTACTGCTCTTCATGAGCCGGACCAGTCAAAGAAGAGAGGCTCTGTGCGCCTCCTGTCTCCCAAAGACGCCGAGAGATTGGTCCTTTTGATTTGAGAAACAACTCACATTAACAAGGGAATTTGAGTAGTTGTAGAAATTTTCTGAAGATGGTTTCCAAATTCCAATGCACATCTTTGTTGATGAACTTGCAAAATGACGATGCTATATCTGTATCGTTGGTGCTAACTGAGCATCTGACCGAGACCAAACTATATATTGATTTGTGTGGTGGCTGCATTCTTCCCTCATACAGCCAAACAACTTCCCATCAAACCAAGACCAAACTATTCTAAGCTACTAAACAATCAGTTCTATATTCTAAATTGTAATGGGCTAATAACTTCTCTGAGGTTCCCCTACAATGCTGGTTTAGAGGAAACCATAGTTGAAGACTGGAAATTGAAGACAACTAGTGTGGCAATCCAACCCGAGGGAGGGGGGGATGGCGGCTAGGGCAGAGGGCGTGGTAGAGGGAGTCGGCGCGGGGAGAGGGGAGGGCGACGGCAGGAGAGGGAGGAGGTAGGGGAAGGAGCAATTGCTCTATTCTTGCTTAGATTAAAATGATTACATCTCCCCTATATTTATAGCCCCTATAGGACTTGTATTCCAAGCAAGCTACGGGAGATATCCTTATAGATTGGATCCTCCTTTCCTAAGCAAACCAAACTCCTATCTTAACAAATCTATTCTTAATCCTCAATCAAACTCCTAATTTAATTCCCTGTTTATTCTTAATTCCTTCCAGGTGAAGGAGGCTTCGCCCTCCTTTGGGCCTCACTTGGCCCACTAATCCCTGCGTGCGGGCCTCTAATTAGGTGTATGACAACTAGATTGACAAATGGAGATAGTTCACAAAGGAATTAGATGTATACATGGATATAATCTACACAGGAATATATGTATGTGGAAGCTGAATTTTATGTATGCATGATTCATAACTGGAATGAGGACTTTGATGTCTAAACAAGTCATTGATCAACAGAAAAAGAGCGAAATAACATGTCATATAGACGAACTTGGCCACGATTGGTCTGAAGGTGCTAAGATTAGAGACCTTATTACATAAACATGTGGAAGTGGTAAGGTAGATAAGACCCCAACAAAGAAACCTCAGGAAAATGACATAAAGGAGGTACTTCATAGGTTCATCTATGTGCCGCGTCTCTCTGATTCAGGAAGATTATCTTTGTTACCCTCTGACTGGCTGGGTTTGATTGACCTATCTGATGTGCTATCATTTCTGCTGTTCTTCACTTGCCGAGTATCAGAGGTGATTTTTTCTTCAGAAATAACTTCTGAACTTTTCTCATAGTTCTTATCAGCATTTGTGGGGAGATCCTTCTTCCTTTGCTGCTCTGCTCCTGACCCCAGTGATGCAGCTTCAGAACCCTGCTTCACATTTTCTTGCTGTGTTATAGCAGACTTGTCTCCTTGCAGTTGCTTGCTCTTCTCAGGGTTTGAAAGCAATACTTCTTCGGATGTTGCTAAGGTAGGAGAATTTGCTGTCTCGTCGGTTTGCTTGCCATCATCTTTAGATGCTTGAGGCTTGTTCTGGTCAGACTGTATCTGTAGCTTGGATGGTTCACCAGTTGTTGTTGGTTGAGCTTGTCCCATGTTATAGCTACTGGCATCTGCCAAGGAATCTTCCTCTTTGCTCTTGCCAATTCTAGTGACTGGTGCTGCATAATCACCTTGCTTCTTGTTTTCAGCTAGCTGAGCCTTGGATTGATCTCTTGCTACCTGTTCGACTGCTTCTTCCTCGTATGCTTTACCCTTATTATTATCTTCAGGTGGTTTCACTCGTGGAGGCACAGAAGAAAGTACTCCAGTATTCCTGGGAGCTTGCCCACTCGGTTGCCTATTGGGCGATACCACACTGGTTTGACTGGTTTCAGCAATACTGGTCTTCTCGTTCCTTGTATTAGATAAAGAAGATAATTGTGGTGATGGTTTCGACAATTGGCCTGCATTATGTCATGAATATGATCAGCCAGCACATCGATGAGGTTATAGAGAACTTCTCTCCCAAAGATATGGACTACAGACTACTTATCATAAAGACAAACATTAACTAGATTTAGACTGACAACTTAGTTGTCTAAACTAGCATTGTACCTAAATCTTTCCTTAAGAGGCTCCTAACAGTCTTCTACAGTCCTGCTATATGAGAAACAATTTTAGGAGTGTAAATTGATAGTGGCAAATAAATGCAGAATAGTTTTCTTAAATACTAAGACTTGGTTGGGGTATTTGCAGATCATCAAATATGTTTGAACAAACATATTTATATGTGAACAAACATATTTGATCAGATTATAGTTGAACAAACATATTTATAGTTGAACAGGTATAGTTTATATGTGAACAAACATCAGATTATATATAAACCATTAAGAAATTTAGAGCTGCTACTTTTGTGAAGATTTGGTGCCTTGTTTGAGGCAACTGCTTAGGAGCATGCTTCTATGTTCTGTTGGGCAATGGTCAGTGCAGATCATCATAGGTAACAAAGGCGCAGTTTCAGTATTTCATCAGATTAATTATGAGATTAAGCAATTTTTTCCAGTATTAGCTCTTTACCTGAAGTTGCACGGTTTTGTGTGTCTGGATTTGGTGCTAGCTTTCCTGGTGTAATTAGGAGCTTGCTTCTTGGATCATCAGAAGATGATTTGGCTGCCTTGTTCTTGCCATTCTCATCAAGATTACCTTCACTGGGATCTACAGAAGCATTTTGTCCAACAGAAGCTTGTGTTCGCACTGGTGCAGGAAATGCTGCACTTGGATCGACCATTGCTGCTTTGGTTGATTTATCACCGAGGGTTCCTGAAGTTGGTTCTGCTGCCCTTTTGCCGACAATAGATTTTTTGTTTGTGTCACGGTCACCAGTATCTTGAACACCTGGGATTTGGCTAGCTGGTGCTTGCTTCCCATAAGTATCAAGAATTGCTTTTTGGACTGATGCTGATGTACCTTGACTGTCAGAACCTTTCCTTGTAGCCTCTGGAGCTCTTTCGCCCATGGTGGAACTCTTCTTTATCTGTTCATCACTGACAATACGAGCACGTGGGTCAGCTCCTTGCATTAGTTCTGGACCACTTTTAGCATCAGCTGGGCTTTGCTGCGATGCACGTTGTGGTGTTCTTATGTCAACACCTTCTGGTTTGGCCAACTTGTCATTGGTAGGAGTAGGAGGAGGTACTTGTTGGATGCTTTGTGAATATCCTGGCCTAGCAGTAGCACGATCATTGTAAGGCACTCCTTTAGCAGCTTCTGGAGTATAAGGGGCTCTTGTGCCTGTTGATGGAGAGCTGGTTATTTTGTTGGCTGGGACTGTTGTGGTTTGCTTTTCTCTGTTATGCACACCTGAAGGATCCTTGATGACAGGTGCTTCCTCCTCCATGGTTGGGTCTTGAGAACCTTGAGCATCTGGATTAAACATTCTCCGGAGCCTCTTAGTTGAGAATCTTTCATCTCCATCAGTGCCATCCTGAATATCTTCTTCAGATTCTACTTGCCTTGGTGATGTGCCAGATACTTTCTGCTCAGTAGGTATTGCCTTAGCTTGTTTCTGGACATCCTGGACACCTGATTTCTGGGCTGGAGATGGAGCCCTATCTTGATCAGCTTCAGTTGCTCTCTTGGTGTCAGCTAGGGCACCAGCTTGCCTTTGACTGGTTTTGCTAGGAGTTGAGGCACCTTTCTGGCTGGGATTCTCTGAATCGCTTCTCTGATCCATCTTGGTAGTGGTAGTTGTAGTGGAAGGCTGGAAGAAGCTACTTTTAGTGTTCTGGACACTGCTAGGTGGTTTCTGAGTGTTAGGATCTCTCTGCCTTTTTGTTGGTGGATGTTTTTCAGTGGTTGTAAAGAAGCCACCTTCATTTCTTTGGATAGGTGAAGAAGGCTTAAGCTCAGAGGCAGTTTCATGTTCTTGTGGAGCTGATGGAATGGAGGTTATGATGGTTCCAGTGCTGGGAGGAGGAACAAGCACTGTCTGTGACTTTGTACCCTCTTGCTGCAAATACTGTGTCTGCCATTGTTGCTGCTCCTTCTTGAGTTCCTCCTTTCTGTGCTCCTCCTCCACAGCCTTCATGTCCTTCAGCACCTGCTGCCAGGAATCACGGGCAGAGATTGTGTTCCACCACCTCTGCACATTCTTCCTCGAGTCATACAAGTAAGCGAACCTCTCGGATGTGATGACGTGGTGGGTGCCTGGCAGGTGAACAAGGTCAGCAAGGGTGAATTTATTCCCCGCAAGGAACTCGATCTCACCAAGCCTCTGCTCGTAAACTTCTAGGACTTCCTCCAGCTTCCGCTTCTCTCTGTTGATGTCTTCATCATAGTCATCATCCTCGGCTTCCAGTGGGAAGGCAAGGTGGCAGAACAATGCCCGGCTCGGAGGATCGAAGGCATGCTCCTCGTTCCGGAGCCATTGTTCAATTGAAGCCCTCTCGAGGACATCCTTTCCCAGAAGGAAAGGATACCCTTGATGCTCGTAGGTCTCTGCTATATAGCGACAGATTGCTCTTGAATCTGCAGATTACAGGACAGGTCAATTTGCATTCTACCTCTGATTTTTCTTATTTAGTCCCAAGTAGCTAGTAATGAACTACTGTCACTTAACTTTGCTGAAAATTTTATTTTGTGGTTTAAATTTCATTTTGTTAATACTCTCTCCATCCCAATTGTAGGTCATTGTAGTTTTGTTTTAAGTCAAACTTCTCAAGCTTTGACCAAACTTATAGAAAAAAATGCACTAACATGTATGGCATAAATTTAGATCTGTTAAATCCACCATATAATATGTCTTGATAGTGTATTTATTTGGTATTGTAGATGTTAATATATATTTTTATTTAATGGTTGAAGTTAGCGAAGTTTGACATTGGACAAACTAAAATGACCTACACTTTGAGATGGAGAGAGAATATGGAAAGGAGCACCATGTTGTGTTAGTACCATGCAATAATGCTTGTACAACCATGTTGAAGTGCTTCATACATCTTTTCATTCCGAAAACATTTGTGTGAAACATTTAAACAGCATTGCATTTCATTTCCGAATGTGATACTGGAAAAGTTTTCTGCTTATGTTTCATGCATGAATGAGAACAAGCCAGTGTACCCTAAAATTCAATGAGCAATAATTCCTTATTTTTCATTATGACTTGTGCATTGAAATGGAAGTGGGTAAAAACTTGGCAAACAGAATGCTGCAGAATAAACATATAACCCAAGGCTACAGAGCTTATTTCTTTCTTTGTTTCGTTTTGAATTTCATGTCACATTGGGAGACAATGGAGATCCTATATAATCTTCTAAGATTCCTAGAAATTAGATTTATTGAATTGAATCTACAGTTTGTTCCCATGACATTTTTTTCTTGCCGGCAATTCTTTTTGGTTTAAAGATTTACACTTACTTGGCTTGAACAAGATATGCACTAAGAGCCTGGGGCCCAAAACAGTGTAGTCTATGTGCAGTCCTTTTTTTGTGTCCTGCTACTTTCAAACGTTCCATTGTCAGGAAGAAGATGATACTGGTTAGAACAATTGAGGGCTGACACATATCAAGGTTTACATTTTTAATATCTGGCACATTTTCTTCACACAGAAATAACTGCTCAATATTGATGACAGAACAACTTCATCATCATGTCTCCTATATTAGTACATATACACTGAATTAAACTTGTATGCATAAATTATGTAGACTCTAGTTCTTAATCAATATATTATTTATTAAGTAGCTAATTCAAAGAAGAAAATAGAACTTTTGTGGCTGTTAAAGATGTAATAACAATTTAAGATGAATAGACTGATACAAAACATCGGCTTATAGTATGATCATTGTAGCCTGAACTAATAATTGGAAGTTTTTTTTTTTTTTGCAACTTCAATGGAGAACCACTTCTATTCCATTGAGAAGCCTTGGAATGATCAGAATTACCTTTTTACTCTTCTTGTAATCTGATTGTTTTCAACGAGTACAATTCATTTTTACTTGTTTCTTTTTTTTTGAAGCATACTCTTGACTTTTACTAGAAAATGTTATTCATAAAGCTACTCATGCCGATTATTTCTTGGATTATGTGATTCACCTACTGAAGTTATTTCACTTGGACAACATATCATTTTATCATGTGCATATGTAACATGCAAAACAGTATGTACTGTAACCACACTACCCAATGACATATAAATCTGTACAGCTTGAGTACGTAACAAAATTGCAGCTGTACCTTGCAGAAATATGGGTCCATCGTAGAACGGAACTGGAACACTCCTGGACGCCTGCAGAGAAGATGTTATGTTGTGTAAGCTAAACAACAGCTGTGTCAACTATTTGGGAGTTGCAAAAAACCTTGGTGTATATAGCAAGTACCTGGAGGCTGAGTATGTCCTTGTAAGAGGCTTTGAATGTCTCAAATTTGACATTTTTCTCGTACAGGCATGTCAGCACCCTCGACACATCCGGTAGGATCATGGATTTCTCATGGTACACATTTACAACAGGAGGCCCTGCACTGGTGCTAAGGCCTGCCATGGTGACAAGAGCTCAGGCTCACTGGTTCACAGAAATGAAGGTAATGGTGTGCAAGCATGGTGATCCATCCGTCATTGTTTTAATATTAGAAGGTTCTGTCCATGCCTGCCTGAACAAGCAAAGAGAAGATGCTTAAAGTGTCAGCTTAGGAACAGGTGGTGATAGAGTGAGAAGTAGGACTAGAAATAAAGAAAAGAGAAAAGAAAAGGTGACGAAGGGGAGGAAAGCAAAAGGCAAAGTGGAGTATATAAGATTACATCATTGAAAAATGGTGAATTCCATCCTAGGCTCCAAGTTTAAAGTGAAAGGGCAAAAGAAGCCCCTCAGCCATAGGGCTGTAGTCATTCCTTGCCGCTTTGATAAAAGGAGATGCAAACTACTGGTACGGGAGCACACAGGTTCTGCCTAAGAAGGCAAGTTTAGCATCTAAAAACCATGATGTCCCCTACATGTACCGGCATACCGGCAGACAAACAGGATGGGTGATGAACGGTCTGGGTGTCCTTCTATGCTTTTACCATGCAGGGAAACTTTTTTGGAAAATAACTTGTCCCCAGGAATAGGACCAATATTCAGATAGTTTACATGTGTATGATTTATTTTCTAATTTTACACACTAGCAACGCTCTGGGTACCTTTACTCTGCTTTGATATGAATGATTTCATGATGCAGGCATGCAGCTGGTGAAGGCGTGCAGCGATGACGGTTTGATGCTCCAGTCCAGTGATCTGTCATGAAGCATAGAGGCTGCAAGTAGTGCGGTCCTGCAAAGCAAACAGGATGCATGAAAGGAAGTGCTTGCCTTGGCGCTGATTGCAATGTTTATTGGGGCATGCCTTCTGAAGCTTCACCTTGAAAAAATAAAACTCCTACACCTGCCTTTCCAAGGTGCTTGTCAGATAACGAGGATCGTGTATTTGTGTTTGTTCTTTTTGTTTTTTGAGTGATCATGAGAAGCGCGAAAACATATCTGAAACCCATTTGCCTAACAAGGAATGTTTTGAATAGTAGGTTCATTTGATGGTGGCAATTGGAAACTTCTAAATGTAAATAAAGATGTTGGGAGTCTTAGCGAATTCATAAAGAATGTGTTTGGCAGCGAGAAACGTTTCAGATTTTCAGTAGAATCATTACCAAACGTCACAAACAGATAAAAGTTTTAAAAAAATCAGTTGTCCAGAGAAACACCTGTGACCTTGTTTCTCATGATTCCAATTCTAATTTTTAAAAAATTAGTGAGCTAGTCAAACGGTTTAACAAAATGATTTTAATTCATCATAGAAATGTTTCCGAAGGGAATCAGGATTTGAAATGTTTTTACGAGAATCTAGAACCCTACCAAACGCATCCTAAGATTAGTCTCAATGAGAATTTTATGGGAGTTTCATGGACATTAAATAAATTAACATGGCATAGCATGGATTAAGAGGAAGATGATAATTTTTTATGATGAAATGAGTTTTATGATAATGAAACTTGTCTACACCATTTTCAACGTATGAGAGTCTTACAAACTGAGAAAATCCCATTGAGACCAGCCTAATTTAATGCTTTTATGATATCCACTCTAGTGAAAACTGGGAATGAGATGATCGTTCTGCCCAAGCCCCGTATGGTGCTTAGCAAAAATTGAATACGCCGCATAGGTTTTTAGTATTCTCCGGGCTGCCCAAACCTTCCATACAACATCAGTCGTGGAACATCAAGTTTATGGCTCAATTTGTGCTTACTGACTGAATAAAATCGACAACCATGAGCATGCCTATTTCCATAGGAGGTTTAGAAAATAATTGAGAATCAAGATAAACCTTCGCCAAAAGCATTTTATCTACCAAAAAATACTTTATAATTCGAATTTTGCACAACTTTCGTCTGGAGGACTTCACTAGGAATTTTGCAAACGTATTGGTGATTATGCTGAAGCGCCGCTAGTGACATAACTTATCTAGGCCCCAATTCAGATTTGACGACATTGTGAGAATTGATGAACACAAGTGATTGTAAGTAACGGAGTTCAATGCATGACTGCATGAGCAGTCTTTGAAATTGTCAAAGAATTTCACTTGGGCCCATCAACTTTGAAAATATATCTTTTTAGTCCTTAAACTTGTTAACTTGTACACATTAAATCCATATGAACCATATGTGAATTTCTCACTGCTTCCATTCTCTCTTCTCTTAGATAGCGTTTGGTTGGGAGACATTTAGGGATGGGATGGTCTTGTCTCAGTTTTTAGAGACGGGACGATCTCATCTACTGTTTGGTTTTGGGAGGACACGATGGCCCTGTTTTCTATTTGGTTTGAGGATATCAAAAGTGGGATCAACTAACTAACATGTGGGGTCCAACCATATGTCACTTTTTTTCCTTTCTTCTTCCTCTACCATTGCACGCATCTAGCAGGACTGCCATTTGTCAGTGGGGCTGGGGCAGAGCCCGCCCATGCTCTAGCGGGGCCGTAGCTCGCACACACCGCAGTGGGGCTGCAGCATGCTCGTGTGTCGACGGGGCTGCAGCTCCCCCGCGCGCCGGCACTCTTGAGGAGTACTAGACGTCGTCTTGTACCCCCTCAAAGGTTCCTCTCAAAAACGTACTCATTCAAGGAATGAGGCTCTGCACCACCACCCAAGAAGGCTATGGCTCAAAAGATGATCCTTGACTTTTTTTGGCTCGGTCGGCCACTAATGTGGCCATGGGACCACAAGTCAACTTGGGGGATACCCATTAATCTCAAGCCCGTGCTTATCGACATGGTCCAAGCCAATCCATTTTGTGGAAAGCCACATGAGGATACGAATGCGCACCTGCAACACTTCATGGAGGTATATGGCACCTTCACCATCAAGGGCATCACGTCTGATGCCATCTGTCTTTGCCTCTTACCGTTCTCCTTGCTTGGGAAGGCGAAGCAATGGTTCTATGCGAACCGTGAAGCTGTCAACACCTAGGACAAGTGAAAGCCCTAGTTTAGTTTTGGATAATTGATAAAACCTAAGTACTAACCTATGTCATCAAGGGTGATCATGAGCTAGGTTGGTACATCCAAGTGATGGAGCATGGTGATGAAGTCCATGGAGATGGAGATGGACATTTGATGATGATGATCAAGCTCCAACTTGGAAAACAAGAAAGAGAAAAACAAAAACCAAGTGTTGATCAAGGCAAAGGTATCAAATAGGTTTTTGTTTTTGTGATCAAGACACTATAGAGAGTGTGATCACACTTAGGATCGATAGTCGTACTATAAAGAAGGAAAATCTTTGGCTAAACGGTTATCGAGTACCACTATGTGAAGTGATTCATGTATATGCATTTAGGGACCTAGTGTGCTAACAATTGACCCTTGAAAAATGCTAACACACGTGCACATGAGTTATACACACTATGGTTAGCAACTTGAAAGCAAGGGTGAAGTGCTTGAGGAGATAGAAAAAGAAAAGGAGGCGAAGGTCAGTGACCGAACTCTGTCTGCGCAGAGACCGGACCCTAGCCAAGCGTGTCTGGTCAGTGGACCAACGCTCGGCCAAGAGGGCTGAGTTGGGACCAGACGCTGGACCTGACTCGGGCGCGACATCAGGTCACGACGCGCAGAGAAGAAGCTACTCGGCCTTGCGAATGAACGTTGGCGTCATGGTGCAACCAGACGCGCAGGGAACACTGTTCCCACATCCAGTCTTAGCGCTGAGGCACGCGTGTGGCTGAGAAGAAAGGACCAGATGCTGGGCGCATCAGGTCATCACTGATAGGGCGTGTCCGGTCAGAGAAATCCCTCTCTAGGAGCTTACTGGACTCCATCGGATGCGTTGTGTACGTGAGTTCGGTCATTTTCTTCGTCGAGCCCGGTCGTAGCTTAACCCTCGAGTGCGGTGTCAAGCGACCGTTGGAGATGAATGGGCGAGGTTCAAAGGAGGACATGTGGTGTCTATTAGGCGACCGGACCCTGGCTGACTGGACATTGGGGTGCATCCGGTCAGTGCGTCCAGTCGAGTCTGCGTGAGCCCAACGCCTCTTTGAGCCTTGGGGGCTCTATAAATAATAGTGGCTCAGCTTTGACTCACTCTGTTGCACATTTTCATTAGTGATACATCCTTGTGAGCCAAAGCAAACACCTCCCACTCATCTCATCATTGATTCATCATCATAGTGAGATTGGGAGTGATTCCTAGTGTATTTGCTTGAGTGATTGCATCTAGTGGCACTTGAGGATCGTCGTGGCTGCGGATTTCTTGTCACTCTTAGTGTTTGCCGACACCTAGATGGCTTGGAGCAGTGGAGGAGGATTGGCACGAGTTGGTGATTGTTCATGGCCATCTCCCGGTGATTGTGAGGGGTCTTGAACCTTCCCCAGCGGTGAGTCAAAAGGTAACTTGACGGACTAGGGTCCTAGGGGTTCCCCATAGGGTTTACTACTCAGATGGGCCCTAGGCTGGTCCACGATCTGCTGGAGGACACGAGGAAAGGTGGCGTGGCCTTCAAGCTACTCAAGATCAACTTAGTCGGCTTACTAAGAAAGCTAGATTCTGTAATAGGACTAGTACTCTTCTATTGTAACCGGCTAGGATTAGATACATGCCCTTACCCTCTCTCCTATATAAAGAGAGGTATGATGCACCCCCCTTGTACACACAATCATACCAATCAATCCAACGCAAAAGGCTACACGCCGACTGGACGTAAAGGCTATTACTCGATCATGAGGGCCCAAACCAGTATAAATCGTTCGTCTCTTTGCGTTTACTGTTGAGTTCTGCTTACGCCGAAGCCCTTTGAAAGCTCTAGTTTGGTTTTGGTGAATTGATGAAACTCTAAGTGCTAACCTAGTTTATCAAAGTGATTATGAGATAGGTGGCACATTCCAAGTGGTGAAACAAATGAAGATCATAGCATGATGATGATGATGCCATGATGATGATCACATGCTTGGACTTGGAATAGAAGAAAGAAAAACAAAAAGCTCAAGGCAAATGTGAAATTGATAGGAGCTTTTCGGTTTAGTGA